GAATAGCCAGAAGAAGGGCAGAGTCCACAAAGGATATGGATCACTTCCTCCACATCAAAGACAAACTGGTAGGACGCTAATAACACCGTTGGACATCACTAAAAGATGGAGAACCTACTTCGAAGAGATGGCCAACACAAGCCGCAGCGTCAGCACCATCCCAAGAGCTGATCCCGTAGATGGACAAGTACCACCAGTTACGAAAGAGGAGGTATGGCTAGCTATAATGAAAACGAAGAATGGCAAGGCGACTGGTCCAGATGACATACCAAGCGAATTCTGGAAAGTATGTGGACAATCCGGGGCCTCCTGGCTATCAGACCTCCTCAATCAGATCATAAGAAGTAAGAGTCTGCCTCGTGATTGGTACACTAGCACAACGGTTCCGATATGGAAGAGCAAAGGGGACGTCGCAGACTGTGCATCCTACCGGCCAATCCGACTGATGAGCCACACTCTAAAGATCTTCGAGCGGATAATCGAAACGCGGCTTCGTGATATCATAGAGCTGTCACCAAATCAGTGCGGATTTGTGAAAGGAGTAGGCACAACTGACGCCATCCACTCCGCTCGGATAATGATGGAGAAATATAGAGAGAAGCAAAAGGAGTTACATGCAGCCTTCCTGGACTTGGAAAAAGCCTTCGATAAGGTGCCCCATGAAGTTATATGGTGGGCCTTACGGAAGCACATGGTTCCAGAAGAGTACGTCCAGTGGATACAGTTGATCTATCACAACGCTTCAAGTCACGTGCAAACAGCTGCAGGGCAATCGAAAGAGTTCCAAATCAAGGTTGGAGTACATCAAGGATCAGTTCTCTCTCCCTTGCTCTTCATCACTGTAATGAACGCCATAATGGAACCACTCAGACGTACACCTCCTTGAACACTTCTCTACGCAGATGATGTGGTCTTGCTAAGAAGCACCAGGAAGGAGTTGCAAGACGAGGTACAAAAATGGAAAGACAGGTTAGAGTTGTATGGGCTGAAGCTCGACACCAAGAAGACGGAGTATATGGAAGTGGGGAAACAGACTCCAGGAACAATATGTATCGATGGTGAAGAGCCAAAGAAGGCAACGTCATTCAAGTACCTAGCAGCCACATCTCAGCAGAGGGAGGCTTGCAAGAGGAAATCGCAGGCAGGATAAACACAGCGTGGATGAAATGGAGAGCCTTAACGGGAGTCCTCTGCGACAAACGAATGCCAGTAAAGCTCAAGTCCCAACTGTACCGGACCGTCATCCAACCAGCGGCCCTCTATGGTAGTGAGTGCTGGCCTGGAGCGCAAGCTCGGTGTCATGGAAACAAGGATGCTACGATGGACCTTAGGTGTCACACTAAAAGACCACATCTGCAATGACATAATACGAGCCCGAATGAAAGTAGCCCCAATTGCCCAGAAAATGCAGGAAAAGAGACTACGATGGTACGGCCATGTACGCAGAAGGGAGGAAAGCCACATTACGAGGCTAGCCCTGGCGGTGGAAGCACCAGGCGAGAGACCTAGAGGTAGACCCAAGATGAGGTGGATGGATAGGATCAAGGCCGACTTGCGAGAACTTGGAATAGATGAAGACCTTGCCTCAAATAGGAAGACATGGAGACAATTGACAAGGAAAGCAGACCCTGCATAAGCGGGACCCATGCGAGGACAAAAAAAATCAATGTGTTAAATCCTAAATCCCAAATGTATTAGGTTGTCCCGAACGTTTTGTCCGTTTTTCAAACCACTGTAAAACCACAAGCAATAAACAGTGAATGAGTTGAATGAGTTTCAGCATGCATTCGATGCACCTTTTTCTTCTCTTTCTTATGGATACATTTTTGAACCACAGTCTTGTATGCTGTTTCTGATAATTGCCAAAATTCTCCACTCGTCAATTTTATCTGCCCAACGTTAGGCTAATTTTTGAAAATTTCATACTAAAGTTTCGGAAAGGGTTAAATATAGATTAAATAGATCAATTCTCAGACTACGAGGCAATATTTTAGATTCTCCTAATCTGCTGTTTTTAACTTCAAAAAATTTTCTTCGGAGATCTCGATTTATGTCAAAATTATGAAACACGTTACTGCAGCATATACACGAGAGCTTTTGAAGTTTCTGCAAGTTGAAACATCATTCTTATTAAACATTATCTATGCAACATGCAAGTCCAATTTGCTTTGAAAAAGCAGCTTTTTGGGATTTTCGGTACTACGCAGGAAAATGTAGTCAAAAAGCCGCGGTTTTCATTGAATAAATAATTATAACGGACTTTTTGAAGTGGCCCATGTAACCTAAAATGAGCACAATGTAGCCAAAGGTTTGCTCTACATAACAATTGACAGCGCTCTTTGAAAACCTCAGGATAAAAATTTTTAAAGTTGGAGATAGAGATCTGGCGTTACTGCTGAGCTGCTCAAAAAGCCATGGCGATAACATGGCAAAGACAGCATATATCAGAGAGCAAATACAACTGTAAGAAAAGGGATAAAAATCTGAATTAAATGGTACCTAATCATGGATTGGTGTTCTGCTAGTTTTGGTGAGCAACGAAAAAAACGGACAAAACTTTCGGGACAACCTAATATTTTGAATCAACGATGGTTCATTTACGATTACAGTTTAAATTATAATCAAGTCAATACTCAACTTCGAAGATATCAACAGATTGTTGTGTTTGATGCAATCAAGAGTTATGTGATTTTCTCAGAACTCAATACTTTGGAATTATTCGGCAGAATTCTGAAATAAAAGGGGAAATTGCATCAATCTGCAAAAGATTTGCTTGTCGCTTATTATCATTACTCCTTCGAAATTTCGAACAAAAAATTCAAAGTTTGGAAAGCTAGATGGCAAGAGTGAAGGGTCGGAAGTTGGAAGCTTCCGCGATTATCTCCGCACACTATACCAACAGGAAAGAGGCAAATTTGCTTTGGATGTAATCTTATATACTAGTTGTCTATATAAAGCAATCTCTCTTTGCTGTGTCATTTTTGGTCTGTCTGTGCGCCTTTGTGTTTTATGTTTCGAATAGAAAATATCATTTTCGAACCAACCGGACTAAACTTTGCACCATACATTTCAGGGAGGAGAGGGTGTCAAAGGGCTACCTTTGGTGCACAGACAACGATTTTATCAATTTTTTTTCGCAAACTTCGAGAAAAGTGAAAAGTTGAATCGCGTAGTATTGAGGATGTTAAACAATCAATGGCCCGCTATATAGTGGCGCTCTACGCTGAAATTTCTTATCTGATTGGTGGTTTGTGCTACATAGTTAACTAAATCTATGTAGAAGCCAACTGTACAGAGTGGTAAGGAAAGGTTGTAAAGATTTTTTGGGAAAAGGACCTAATTACGATGATGGCTACATCCTTTTAGGACTCATGTAAAGTCTACTGCATGACGAAGGCGCAGAAGCAGTATCAGTTAAGCGGGGGCGAACGCAGCGCGCGCGTATTTTCACCGCCGTAAATCCTGCGCCTCATGCGCTTTGTGGCTAGTAAGTCCGCGTTCGCGCCCAAAGATATTGCGCCTTCGTCATGCAGCAGTCTATATATGAGAAAATACGCCGCAAAATTTTGCTCAAGTTTTTTCCGCGTTTCTCAAACTCAAAGTATGTTTTCTCAATTTCTACTACATTATCAAGTAGAGAATTTGATTTAGACAAGCACTTGACTCTTAGAGTACACAATTTTTTCGAACTTTGTCGAATCGTTGAGCGTCTTCTTTTAAAGCTTGATTTTTTCCATCAGCAATTTTTACAACAATCATACATCACTCACCCTAAGGTTTATAAAATTATGTCATTTCTGCACATTAATACAAAGGAGTGGATTCCAAACGGTGCAATTCAAAGCTGAGGACAAGTCTTAAGACAAGTGTTGAAAAGTAACCAAAGCCTTGAGAATTGCTTCAATTTCTGTGTGACTTGTCATTTTATGTAGAGCTTCCCCATGTTTTAAATTTTATTTTCAGCTCCTTTTAAGCGCCTAGTATAATACACTATGCTGAAGGCAGTGTCCCAGCAAGAAGACGACCTTGAGATTTCGTGCTTCCATGGCATTCGCTATGCAGAATCCGAAAATGCGAAAAGGAGCTTTAACACAGGAAGGAAAACAGCAGGAGACGGGGTCCTTCCCACTGTAAATTCGCGCTCCCTGCTTCCGAAGCGATCTTCTCGGTCCCGATTCCAAGTTATGCGTTTGCACTTGGCTCACATAACGACATCCTTTTCGCTGTTGCTCTTCGGTGTTGATTTTGGGATTCAGCACAGCAAGGTCCGAGGCTGGCCCGGGTAAGAACAAAGTATAAAATCGACTTTTTGCCCAGACACTGCCTTCAATGTTTGAGTAACGTTGCAAAAACGCATTCAAACATATTCTCCCAAATAAGAATGCTCTATATTACTGATCTATCAAGCATAACAACAAGATGGAACTGTGTAAGACCTCGACCAATTATAATAAAATGCGATTTAAGCATGTAAATCACAAAAGTGAAGCGGAAGTGTCTCTTCCGAATATTTCTGTTGATTTGTTCCAATCATTGCTGTGAGAAAATGTATAAAGGACGCTGCTAGACATTTTTCTCCGTTAATAATCACAAGATTTATGCGTGAGTATTTACTTCAGAGCCTATGAAAATGCAGACCCTCCTCGCTTAGCTTTGTGACAGAGTCAAAACTTTGACAATGAGGATATTTTCCTTTTTATAAGTAATGAAATTTACGAACTGAACAGATTTTATCCTCCCTGTCGTTCACTGTGCAGCTCATACTCGATAAAAGTTCTCACATAAAAAATGCTGTTCGTTAAGCAATTTACCGACAGAGTTGGTTATAAAGAACTGAGTTTACGGATTTACTTTCTTGGTAATACAAAAGCTTTTTCGAACAATTCAATTAACTGGATGCAATCGCCGCGCCAGATTTCAATCTTAAAGTTTTTGATTATGTTATACTCCCCATGATCGCTTTTCTGACCTGTTATTGAGGTGAAAATAGTTTTAATTCTATTCGCTATTGATGTTTAATGCTCAACTACAAGCTTGTTAATCTTCATAATAAACAAAAAAATCAATGGTGACAAACGTTAGAGCTTTGAAATTTTAAATCAACAATATATCATCCCACAGCAACAGACCATCACAGGCATAGGTGGCGGTGGAGGTGGAGGTGGAGGAGGTGGTGGAGGTGGTGGAGGTGGTGGAGGAGGCGGCATTGGCATCATTGGAAGACAAGGCGGCATACATGATGGTTCCATGTACGTTTCGACGACCGTCGTAGTCACGCAACCACTACCGATACATCGACGTTGCCTAAAAAGTCACTCTTGGTACACTATCATAGAGCATTTTGAAAAAAGCAATTTGAATTTTATCACAGGCCTTTCATCTCAAATTATACGTAAATAGAAGCAAAGTAAAAATGAGACAACTTTGTACCCACTTCTCACTACGTTTACATTCACTTCTATATGAACAGCCCGAAGGTTAAGTACCATACGTACCTACAAATATGCTAGTGTATAGTTTCGCGCTCCATCTCAGACAGTCGAACGGATACCTCCGGCGGGCATATGGCGCGAGTCTGCCATTTCGCGCTCCGGGGCCCTGCCATCTCACGCATTTTTGTGCTCCGGGACTCTCCCAAAAGTGGCGCACCTCGGGAGCAGAGATTTGCGCGTCGCGGAGAGGGGTCCCATTCATTCACCGTGACGTCACGGTGACGTCACAAACAGGACGAATGAGACCCCTCTCCGGGACGGGCAAATCTCTGCTCCGGAGGTGCGCCAGTTTTGGGAGAGCCCCGGAGCAGCAAAATGCGTGAAATGGCAGGGCTCCGGAGCGCGAAGTGGCAATCCTCCCTGGGGAAAGCCCGCGACCCTGCCACTTCTGCTCCGGAGGTATCCCGTCGACTGTCTGAGATGTGGTTTCGAGCCTTTCAAGGTAATTGCATTGCTGATTTATATGCGTGGTAAAAGGCCATGTGATAAAACGTCTTGTATCTCAAAAACAATTACCCTAATTTCACGAATACAAAGAAAACTGGGTTTTTTCTAAACTGGCCAGCCTGGACATACTAAAAATTTTGCGATTAATGGGACCTTTGCCTGCAGCTCTTTACCTTAAAAAATTGAGAGAGCGGCCACCTCTCGAGGCATATTGGTGCAGTCGAGCTGTTTGCTCGAAAAAACGAAAAGGTGCGTCTTGTACTCGTGTAATTGGGGTAGATGTATGTTACATATGAACCAAAATCGAGAACCTTCTCACTGTTGAATCCGAGAAGAGATATGCTCCAAAGAGTCAGTCAGTACTTCGCGGTACTGACATTTTACCTCCAAAATCATGTAATAAAACTTTTTTGAAGTGTGACAAGCTTGACTTCCAAACCTATCATGGGACCGTTATTGATGCTGACATTGTCGTTGCGGTAAGCGGAGAGTATGTTGACAAAGAAGTATTTCACATATTACTCAATAAGAGTGCTGTGATTCGTGAAACAACCCACTTTATAAAGCAGTTATCAGAATAGTTATTCCAAAAATGCTCATTTTCTTCTCTTTTGACGTACTTATTTGAGCCCAAGCCTCTTTAGTGAGACCATTTGAAACGCGTTTGAGCTCGGATCGCTGACAGTTTAACAAATTTCGAAAACGCAAAAACTTCGACATCGTTTTTTCTAGCTCATTGTCCTTGAGTCTGTATCATCTTTAAAAAAGTGATGGATTATTCCAAGTTGAACCATTTCGTTGACAATTAAAGCAGTCAGTTTGAGAGTTTTCTATCATTTGTCGATTCTGCTTTTGTTACTTTAAATGGCGACGTAAAAAGATGTTAGCCACAGAAATACAAGCTGCATTGGAAATAGAGTCGATGTCAGAAGCAGCATAAAATCTGTCCAAATCTGCTTGTAAATTCAGGGGCTTTTACGTTAACACATACAATACGTCAATATGACCCACCGGTGGGTCGTAAGTTTAACGTCATTCCGCACGATACGACTCATCAGCTTCGGCACATGTTAAAAAACATTCAGGTAAAGATTTAGTTAAAGACTACCAACGTACGTGGTTGGATCTTAAATTTGAAGTTGCAAGGATACACTGTGGTCCGAAATGGCAGAAATCAGAAACTTGAAAAAACAATGCGTTCAGCACGGAAAGCGCTTGAGTGCTTAAATGAAGAATAGTATGTATCAGAATTGACAAAGCTTCAGAAAGTTTGAAGTTTCCATGATTATGCTATACTAAGCTTGTTGCTTGTTCGCTAAGCAGGTGAATGCAAAAAAGGTTTCTACAAAGAAAATGATAAAACTTCGATTATCTGAGGGCAAAATTTGCAGTTGTGTCATTTTAGTAGCGAAATGCCAGCGAAGGAAGGAAGACGAAGACTAGTAAATGTTGATGTAATGAAATGGAAGCTTTGCTATAGTTCTGAAGTTTGTTACAAATGACTCCTACTGCCATCTACGGTTTTCTTGTTCTTCAACGTATAGCTTCAGAGCACGAATGCATGAAAGATTTGTGGAAAATACAGCTTTCTAATCAACACCATTCTTTATGGACTTTGAGGATATAATCTATTTTTTGTAATAACCAAAATTTTCAAGCCAAAATAAAGATAGAGCGAATTGCAGTAGTAATGCTATAAGTACTGGGTACATGGTAGTCATTGCGCATGAAGACATTCTTCTTCAAGATGATCAATTTATAGCAGCTTAAAACTAACTCACCTTATACCACCACTGACGAGTGGTGCGATGATGATAAAAATAACTGTAGAAATTTTCATGCAAAAGTGTCAACGGAACTACTGCTTTTCCAACTTTAATACTTCTTAAATGTCGATACTGCCTTACTTTTTATGATTATTTCATCAATCTCGTTTGTTGCACTTCTTTCTGCCAAATGCAATCAGTTTCATAAATGATTGCCTGGTGTCGCATTGAATCATAGGCCATTGAAATAGAAAAAAAGGTAAGAAGTAGGAGGAAGTTTGCTAGGCTCTATTTGATAATTCAAATGCTATTCGCTAAATGGGCATCCGCTACAGGTACGACCGGTCTGAGTAATATGAAGTGTAGTTTTTCACAATCATGATTTGTTCTGATACCAAAAATTTTTACATCACGTTAGTGCAGACTCGTGAAATTTACTGAACACCCACTATTAGCATGGGTTTGTAGTTCCAGTCATGAAATCTGGCACTGTTGAGTTTGTTGCAATGAATAATAGCTTCAACGTGACCATCTTGACATGGTGATTTTTATGAGTATTCAACTTTACGCTTCACTGAGTTATTGTCTCACCTTACAGGGTATTCCATAATCGTACTGGTCTGTCCTGCAGGCGAAATGACTCATATGTTCAAAGAAACCTTTTGCTTCGTCAAATCGGAATTGACTGCAGAGATAAGTCAAAATGCTTCTGATTTCCTACTGCACGTTAAAAAATGTCTTAAAGACGAGTACTGCTGCTTTTAAACGAGTTGTTTAAATCTCGTTATTGGAACATAGTCCTAAAAATTACAATCCTGCTACTAAATAGGACCGTCGGAGCGATCTTTGCGGAAAAAGCATGAATTATAAATGTATTATATTTATGGGCCACTTTAAAATGAATGCTGATAGCGCATACCTCGCCAAAAAAATCCACAGTTTTTACTAGCATCTTCTACAAGTTTCAAAATCACTTCACCAATTTTTTGTAATATTTTTGCGCAATCTATGCCAGCATTTTACATTTCTGGAGAAACTTTATTTCCTGGCACTAATAGCCTTTTGCAATTTCGGATGCAATCTTTAGTGGAATTTTGAATAAAAGTTACATCAAAAATTTGATCCCATTTTGGTCTTAAACCATTTTCAACCTATCTTTTGAAAGGATAGCCGAAGATGAAGGAGTTCATGTATTTTTTGTTAGTTTATTTAGAGTTTAGCTAGAGGAGAGTGAACTAGGTATATTGTTTGAACCATTGCATGAACAAATAACAAATGTTGCTGGAATACAATATATTTATGGAAGACTAGCGTTTGTAAGAAAGGCAACCATATTGGCACTAGATCCAGACCGGTTTCCGTAGTACCCCCCACCCTCCTCTCCCTCTCAAAGTCGCTGAAGCATGGCTAATTCGGACTTACAGTATTGCGCGCGATCTGGATGCGAATCGCTTTGTAGAGATGGGAAACGTGCCCACCTCGAAGAAAAAAAGTTGTGCGAGTTGGGAATGAACGGGTGAATCACTCGTTTCAAGCGAGGCGCCAGGGTTCTGGGCTTCCGGGGGGACGTTCTCTTTTATTCTGGCGGGCAGCTAGTGATAGGCGCCCATCGAAAAATGTATGATAGCTGCTACCGAGAATCTTGCCTACGATTCCTAGGATAACGGGCGGGTCCCATGCGGCACTGATGGACTCAATGAAGGACGATCTAACCTTATCCTATGACACTAATGGGTTAAAAAAAACGTTGCAGGTCTTTATTCAAGACTCCGCCCCAAAAATTCTGGGGATTCGACGATACCTATTGGAAGGATTCCAACAATATGAAATCTCATTCTTCTAACATTCAAAATAATACGGCTGATAGAAAACAAATGAAAAGAGTAATCTCTACTTTTATCAAGATTGTGAGAAGAGGCCTCGGAAAAACAAAAAACTCCACCTTTTAAATCTCTTATTGTCTCAGCTGCGATGCACTTTCATCTGGTACTGTGTAAATTGCGTATTCCCGTGCGGCAAAACACGTCAGTTCGCAAATCCCGCAAGTCCACGAGCAACTCACGAATTCGATTTTGCTTTGCACACTATTTTTTAAGTTATAGCTACCTTCAAATTGCTAGCAGCGCGTTAAACTGACTGACTTGACCGAAAGCTCTTCTGACACTACGTGCCGTCTCAGAGTTATGGGTGAACGCTTGCACGTTTGATTCACGAAATTATCTCGAGCTCGGTTTGACTGAGCTTACTGGGGTTTACTAAGAACCTAAGTTTGAAGCAAACAAGGAACAGGGCTAATTTAGCTATGATTATCTTCAACAGAGATGGATTCTCGTTTGCTTAAAAAGTTTAATGAAAAAATTCAAAGATCGTGTAACTCTCATTTATACTCCATCACGACAGAGCCATGATGATTGTTTTCAAAAGCAGACTTATCTAAAAAAGTGTAAGGCTACATGAGTTTCCGGGATTTTCCAAATATTGTTGCTGTCAAATTGTATCCAATCCTTGGAGTCCTAGGATCGCATCAAACAATCCTTTTTTGTTGCATAATATACGAATCTGGTGCGCTCTGGAAACACATCATTCCAGTTGCGTGGTATGATAATATGTAGGAGCGAGGTCTTGGAAGTACGGTGGATGTTAAAGTGCCTCCCACTTTAGGTCTTCCAGGACAGCTTTCATCACGTTTGCCGCATGGGAGGCGTGCGTTCATGCAAGAAAATCCCTTTGCCCTGTCTGTTGGGTCTCTTTTGCAGTTTAGCCTCATTAAAGCGATGCAGCTGGGTAGCGTATAGGTTATGGACGACCGCCCTGTTCCTGCCCAGCATCTTTCAAAGCAGGACGCCCTCCCAGTCCCACTAAACACTCATCATTCTCTTGGTTGAGTGTGATTCATGCTCAATTGTTGGCTCTAGCGTTTCCCCTGGACCGATTCATTCTTTTCTTTGTCTTCAATTAACGTACAAGCACAATTTACCATCACCAGCAACAATTCTGATCACAAATCGCTCGCTTTATGCGAACTTCAATTTTCTGATGACGAGTGAGGCGACGAGCTGCAATTGCAAGCCTCATTTTTGTCCTCTGAGTCAATGCATAAGGTGTTCATGCGCCAAGTTTTTAGCACATCCCATTAACTGGAGGTGGCGAAAGACTGTAGCAACACTACAGTTCATTTTCTTGGCCAATATCTTACATGTCTGACGCCAATGCTACTTCAAGTGCGCCATGAGAAACCCTTGTCAAAATCCGCGGGTCGACCTGCACGGTTCTGTCTTCCAGGTCCGGATGGCCTTCTTTGAACTTGCAGAACCACTTGTAAGCCGTGAACTCGTCTACAACATTGTCTCCGTACACGACACAGATTTATCGCACTGCTTCCGCAACTTTTTACGCTCTTTTTGTAGGTAAAGAATAACAGGTGCCGAAAGTGCTAAGTTCTGCTTGGGAAGTCTATTTTTGAATGCTGATAATCCGAATAGAATTTACTTTTGTTGTTGGATGCACCTTGAAGAAGATGATCTTGCTTGTGATATTGCCAAAAATCGACCACCTCTTGAAGATATGAGAATGATCAAAACTTTACGAACTTATAGAACGTCCTAATACAACTCCTTTCAGAACAACGTAATAGTTTGTAATGTCAGATCTATGCTAGCATAACATACTACACTCAATAAATGCTCCTGCTTCGAAAATGGGTCGTGAAATCTGTGCAAATAAGTTCTTCATAATTGTGAATGATTTAAAAACATTGAAAATTTTCAAAAATTCGATTCTCTTGCAAAAATAAATTCGGGGTCATAGACCGCAAAAATTTTTGAAAGCACCCCAAAAAATTTTGGCCGCGCCCCCCCCCCTCCCTATTAACAAAAGGAATTCCTGGGACCGCCTTTGGTACTCAGCTCTCACAAATAATGTCCCATCAATGTTTAAGAACTCAAATTCGTCCCGTTCTGGTAACTTTGCCCGACATGCGACGAAAGATATGCTTTATAGAATAACTTTTTTACCGCTCACAGCTATGCATTGCAGATGTAATGCGGGCTAGAGAGAAATATGGGGATATTTTGGTAAGCTTGCTCATGAGAACAATCTCGCCAAATTTTTTTCGCTTTCATAATCAAAGGTTCTATTGAAGATCTTCAAACAACAGCCCTTATTCAACTTATAGGTCTCAAAACCCAAAGGCGTAAACCTAGTTACTGTCTTAATAAAAACTAACTCTTTGGTGAACTTGCTTGATCCACCGGAGCTACCCTCGATATCAACCCATATGTCTTCCCTCAACATGACATGGATTAAATGGATTGGTGAGGCGCCTCCTGCTTGGGCTTTGTCACGTTGCGGGGGCATCGTTTGGCGTGGGGTGGCGCTCAAAACAACTTGACGTAGACTTTCCCACGTTGTTCTTGTTGCAACACCACACTAAAGATGCGCACGCAACGTGGCGGAATTCTAAAGCGAGGTGGCGCCTCACCAGGTCCGCGTAATCACGTCATGTTGAGGGAAGACTACGAATTGATATCGAGGGTAGATGTTTTTAGGCTCAACACGATGTGGCTCCTGCATATTTTAGGTAACGAAGTTGTCTTTGACCTCGCAATTACAAAGTGCATTGTGAAGTAGGAAGGTGTAAAGAGAGAGAAACAGGCAAATGAGTAGAAAATTTTAAAGAATAAAGCCATTGGAAAGAAACAGTCCCGTCCTTTGCCATACCCTTTTCAACACGTTCACTCGGTTCACCCCTTCTGCTATTGGTCAGTGCATTGATTTGACCGATAGCGAATGGATGAACCGGACGAACCGGTCCAACAGGTATGCGCACGGCCATTGCGCCGCGCATGTCCGATGTCACTGAGGCAGGTGCCAGACTTATCCTGTTCGACCGGTTCGTCCGGTTCACTCATTCTTCAAATCAATGCACCGATCAATAGCAGAGGGGGGGGTAAACCAAATGAACCTGTTGAACAGCGTAAGTCTGGCACCTACCTGGGGAGACGGTCGAATGGCGCGTATTGATCGATTGTGATTAATCAAGAAAACTGGGGAAAATGTCTGAATCTGGTTTGCT